GCACAATTAGGCTAAAATAGCCATTATTTCTTCACACCAATTTAAGAATTATGACTGCTGGTACATTTTGTTTTGTCTTCAGTTTCTACTGACAAACACAAAGAGCCAGAGGAAGGTCCTTTCTAATTTTCTCAGGAGAACATCTGGACCAAAGACTATTGAGAAATGTTCTCACTTGAGCTTTGCCTGTAAAAATGTGTTTTTTCAGGGACTCTCTCTCACCCACAGAGCCAACCACACGTGTTGACACACAAGCAACTGAATGCTGTGGTTTAGGATAATGTTCCTTTGCTCTCGAGTGGCTTGCCCCACCCTAGGTAAAGCAAAACAGTTACTGTGTCTTAATCTGAACAACTAGTGCAAAATGACCTGTCACACACTATGAAGGCACAGTAGCTTCTCCTCCATCTTCCCTTAGCCATTCAAACAGTTAAGGTAAAATTTTGCTTTCTCCAACCCTTTGCCTTCTCTAAGGTGCACACATGCACCCATCTACCTACAATAAATATGTAGACACATTCCTGTTGCTTTCTGACAGGAAGCCAGGAAAATCCCATTCCAAAACCAGTTTATTGCTCTGCTGACAGACACCTTTGAAAGCACATCAGATTTTGCATTACATGAATGTGTTTGGAGATGATCCCTAAATTGCTGGGATTTGGGTAAAGGGTGTGGAAAGTCTTACACTTTGGCTGCATCTTCATCACTGATTTTTCTCCTCCTCACTCTGGTATTTTCCTTAAGTCCTGTCACTACTGGGAAAATCTCTTTTGCTTTTCATAAGCTCTGGAGGACCTGTCCAAAATTTAGGATCTATACACTTCTTTTTAAAACCAAGAGCAAGACTTTCAGTAGCTTTTAGGCATTTAAAGATGCTGGTGGTTTTCTAGCGAGGTCTTCAAACAATGAGATCTGTGCACCCAGGCATTCAGAGACAAACTGCAGGACAGAAAAAAAGATCTTCAACTTCTCTCTCTCTCAGTACATAACTTTTTAGAGAAGCTGGGTAGGATGAGAAGACAGGCAATGAGCTGAAACACTACGGACTATCCCAGGCATCCCTCATGCTTCAGGAGGGGCTTGCCTTACAGTGGCTGTATCCGATAGCGATAATCCAGCTGGACCCACCACCAGGAGGCAGTGAGCAGCAGCAGGCACACACACGACTCTGCCACATTTCTCATCAAGACTGATTTTGTCTGATCTCTCCTTCCTTTGGGAGCAGGGGGAGAGATGAGCCAGTGTCGAACTCAGGCTGCTTCCCAGGTACCTGAGGCAGATCCCAAGACCCAGACAGCTCACAAGAGGCCACTGGGGAGGCTTTGACCTCCTCCCATGAAGATGTCAGCCAAGTTCCATCTAGCCCGAGGTTGTTCAGTAAATAAACCCCCACCTTCCAGCTCAGCTAGTCACAGGCACCAGCACCAGCCAAAATCAATAGATGAGAAGCAATTTGTCACTTCCAGGCCACACTGTTTTGGTTATGATGAGTCAAAAAACACTAAAGGAAACACAGATGTAGAGGGATCACCTCATTTTCTGGAGCCTTCCTATCTCTAGAAGTCTTGCCTCATCTCCCTCAGAATTTCCACATGTGTACACAAGACCATCTCTTGTGCGCTGCATGGTCATACCTGTTAAACTGCAGGCACATTGCGTGATGCTTGGCAGGGCCGAGGGAGCTTGGCACAAGCAGTGGGAGGTTGAGTTCACCTTGAGCTGCTGGTGTCTCCCCAAAAGAATTTCTTTTCAATTATTTCAAATAGCTCCCACTTGCACACAAAGCTCATGTTTTGTAACAAAAACAAGGAGAAAAATGACATCCAAAGGAATTTTACCTATTTCCCTTTCCACTTAGTCCACTGAAGTTATCTTTAAAAAAAAAAAAAAACCAAACTCAAAAAAACTGGCCACCAGAACAACACAGTAGCCAAGAAGCTAATTTAATAACCTCATTCTTCAAAATCCACCCTGCCCTTCATACTTGTAGGTTCCAACAACAGTCCCAAATCATCCAATATCCTCTATTTTTTTTTTTTTTAAGGTTTCACTGACTTTCTATCTTCACACAGGCAATGTTCTATATTTGGGAGAGAAGCACTGAAAGCTGCAAATTTTCCAGTAGTTTCCAGGATTTTCCCTGTAAACTGAGGCAGGTGTTACCCTACTCAGCTACAGAGAGACAAAGCTATAGCCAGTTACGAGTACAGAAAGGAGCAGAAAGGGCAACAGAGACAAGAGTGGGGATAGCCCCCCCAAAAAACTGTTGCTCGGGGTCCATGGGCCCAGATGAAAGTCCAGCAGGATAAGTTACCCCATCCCAGCTGAGCCCCAGTAACTGATCACGCGTGGGCTGTCCTCACAGTCTGGTGCCATCGAGCTTTAAGCAGAAATACCGCGTCCTAAGGCCCTAATCCTTTAGCTCACAGCAAAGCAGCCAGACGTGGGCTAAAAGCCACATTAAACTCGCTGGAGATGAAGCATTTGCTGAAATGCTTTGCTGAACAAGGATGAGCGACTGTGCTTGGGCTTTAGCTACAAACTGCTGTACATCTTGGCTCTGGTTTTTTTTGCCACATGGCAGCTGGTTACATCCAAGACCTTAAATTCCTGGCATACAGTGTGACAGTAGAAACTCAGCTGTGCAGCATATGCTCCATCTAGCGTTTATTCAGTAATATTTAATTTCTTAAATTGTTTGGTTTTTTCCTAACACATAGTTCCATCTTTTCTGTAGTGTGATTATTTAGGAACATTATTGAAAATATTGATCTTCTGCTGTTGTTTAACTGCACAATTTTTATTTAGTCTCCACTTACACCTTCAGTTATGATGATACGGTAATTTCCATTGAGAGATTAGATCTCATAGAGCAAAATGAAGGAGAAATGTTTTAGAAGAGCAGTGAGCATTTCTCCGGGTGCTTTGCTAATGCAAAGTGAAGAGAGAACTTTGAGCAAGAGTAAAACATCAAAACTAAATTACACCAAATATCACCACCTGATCAATAACTTTCAACACAAGACAGAGCAGTGAGAGAAGCAGTTTCCCAGCCCTCCCAGTGCTGTACAGCGGTGAGCAGGGAAGACACAAGTCATGACTCCAGGGCTCAACGCCTGCAGTGCCACTGACCCACTCCCTAAGTAGGTCAAGCAAGTCTTGCAGCTGCCCTACAGCCCACTCACACCCTCTGCCCACTGGGCACAAGCTCCTCCTGGATGTGTTGCAAAATCCCACCTTCCCCAGCTACTTTGAGGCCCTTTTTAGAGGCCTGCTGCACATGGCACAGTGTTAGAGGAGGCAAGCGGAGCTGCTTACTGCCCCCTCCTCTGTCAATATATTTCCAGCCACACCTACCTCTCACATTTTCCCTTGGCTCTCTACAGCAGTGGTCTTACCTGGCCAAAACGACACCTCCTTACAGCCCTTGGGAAGACACATCCTGGCCCATGCTGGGTCACGCTGCCACATCAGCCTGTACAGGGGAGCCAGGGCTGCAGCCCCACGAGCAGCTGGATTCGAGTGGACCCTGCCCCAGCAGAGAAAGGAAAAAGCTTTACCCTGCAAAAGATACTTCCCAAGTAGAGGGAACCAGGTGAAGGGAGCTCAGCACTGAGAGGTTTTTTTGTCCTCAAGCCAGGCTGTAGGAGAAGGAGAGGAAAAGAAGCAGGTGGCACAAAGGCCCCACTGCCTCCTCAAGCCACCCTCGTCACACCTGGGCTCAGTGGGACCCAGCAGCTGCTGCGAGTGAGTCCTGATGAGCGGTTTGGCAAAGCTCTGCCGGTGTGCCTGCATGATGGGGGGTTTTCCAGCAGCTCAGGTTGGGTACAAGGCATTTTTGCACTATGGAAAAGTAGGGAGGGGTGGGCAGCATCAAGCCTGGCAATTGCCATGTGCATTTCAAAAGAGCAGGACTCTGTAACACATACTCACAGAGTCTCCTCCTTACCTCAGGCTGCCCCCAAATTTGCACTTGTTTAGAGAGTTCCTGGTTGCTGATTTGCTGCTTACCTGCTAGGAACCCGCTAGTGCAGAAAGTCAACAGCAGATGGGACAAGGGGTCCCAAGCTTGTATTTTGATAAGGAAGAAAAAGAAAGAAAAGATAACCCTGTTCTGTTGCATTAGGAAGGATGGTGAGATTCTGGGATGGGCTGCCTGGGGAGGGGACAGAGTCTGCAGGGGAGACCTTTAGAAAATAGTTGAACATACCCAGAGAAAGGTGTGGGTTGGCTGATCCTGCCTGGAGGCAGTGATGGCTCAGACAGCCCCTCGATGGCCTTGTTTTTCTGGATGAAGGCGAGAGGATCGGAGCCCAGCTCAGGAGAAGAGCTGGCAAGGAGCTGCAATAGAAATGGAGAGCCCCTGAGCTCTGCAGCCACAGGGCATAATCCTAGGCACAGATTTAAGGGGCACTGATAATTCAACTTCCTTGGGCAGAAAGCATTTTAAGAGATCCCCACGTGCGTGCCCCTGCCTGCTCTCCTCCTGTCCTGGAGCTTACAGCAGAGCTCCCCAGCCCTTCTGTCATGGCACTGACACAAGCGAGAAAGAGGCAAATTGCAGCTTGGGGATGGGAGGGAGCGGGTCCCCACATGGAGAAACTGCAGAGGGCACCACCAGGGATGTGCAGGGTAGTATAAAACTAAGTGCATATAAGGACATTTTCTATAACAGTACTATTTGAGTAAGAGCCTCCAATAAACCAGATACAGGCCTGCTGCAGGATGTCCTCCAGGGCAATACACAAACCAGAGCCAGTTTGCTGCAGAAAATGAGAGCAGGTCAGTCCCAATGGGAAACGCACAACATTAAAATATATTCTTTGACAACTGTGGGTTTTGTTGTTTTTTTTGCAGGTGATGGCCATGATGCTCTTCCCTGTGCAGCTGCTGGTAGTGGCTGTCACCATTTACCTAGAGCTGGTGAGGTCTGCTCAAGGCGGGGTCTACTATGGGATCAAGCAGCTGCCACCCCAGGTGCCCCAGTATCAACCCCTCGGACAACAAGTACCTCGCATGCCGCTGGGCAAAGAAGGCATCCCGATGCAGCACATGGGCAAGGAAGTGCCCCACATGCATTACTGGAAAGAGTACCCCTATCTGCCTCAGTACATGAAGGAGGTCCCGCAGATGCCCCTGCTCGGCAAGGACATGGCTCCCAAGAAAGAGAAAGGTAGGCTCGGCATGTCCCTCACCGCTCCCGCACAGTCCTGCCTGGTGCCCCACAGCACCATTTGCCTTGGGGAGACTGAAGATGGGGAACAGGTTGCTGCTGCAGGCTGGTCAGAGCAGCCAGGTGCCCCAAGGACTGGCCAGGGTGGTGCCTGGACACGAGTGACAAAACAGGCTCGCATAAGCTGTGGTGCAGCTCAAGGTCACCAGGGCAAGGCCATGGGGCTGCAGCACAGCCTCTGAGCAGCCCTATCTGTGACAAGCCCCCAGCACCCAGGGTTGGCCCCAGGTTTGTTTGGGTGCTTGCTCGAGGCTAGGAGAAACCTTGTAATCCCACCCGCCTGCAGAAAGCCCTCTGCTGGGGTTTCAAGTGATGGCCCAGGTGGACAGGCCAGGGTCCTGCCTGGAGGTGCTCCCACTCTCACTGCAGCTACCAGACATGAAATAAGACCTAAGAGCGCCAAGACTTCAATTTATGGGAATATCATGGTTTTGCTAGATTTGTCCAGACCCTGCAATTTAGAGGTTTGCAGATAAAAACATAAAAGTTGCTCTTCTGACTCTGCAGTCCTCTTTCTGTAAGTTATTTATGGGAGTAACAGAGGTATTGAAGTTACAGGGCATTACTACACAAGTCTGCACGTACAAGCACTTTCAGTATTCAGTAAATGAAATTTGGACAATATTAGACTATTTAAGAAAACAACAAAAAATGTCCAAAATACAAAGGGCAATCAGGAATACCCGGCATCATAATATCCTTGTGGGGACAACAAGCATCTGTGTGATTTCAGACAAGCTGTTTAACTCTTTGTCTTATTGAGGGTTCAGCATAACCACAGACTCTGCTAGCTTCAGGGGGAAATGGAGGACTTCAGGGCCTATTTTTGTAGTATCTGAACACTCATGACTGGCTGTAGTAAAACCAACACGTCCTGTGAGCAAAGGAGGTTGCCTACGTGCATAAAACGCAACATGTACAGAGAGGGAGGGTTTCTGCCTCCCAGAGAACAGTTAATTCTCTTGCCCTGAAACCTCATCTCTCTCCTTCCCACAAACCTCTCACTTCTTTATCCATTTTAGAGCTGGAGAGAAGCAGACTTTCCACTTAACACAAAAAGCCTGCAGCTTGAAAATCAACCAGCCCCAGCACAACCACTCCCACACGGCAACTCCCTTACCCTGACCTGCAATGCTAGGTGGTCACATACACAAAAGTGTGGGTTTGGACAATAAAAACATTTTGTGAAGTGTTTAGAAGAGCTCTAACTAGATGTGGCTCTGCCAAAAATCTGTGGGAGCTTAGCAACACTGGGTAAGGCTGTAGGTTTCCAGTAATATCTTAATGGGAACTAAAGTCTTGGTGAAAATGCAGTCATACCTACGTACAAACTTCTTACTGCTACAATATTTTTTAATTGATCTTGCTAGTGTAAGGCCGCCCAGCAAAAGCACTTTTATGCCAGAGCTCCTCCTACAGTATGAGAGCACCAAGCAGCTTCTGTATCGTACAAAAACTTTTAAAAGTACATTAGTCTACAGCAATACGGGACAAAAAGCAGATTTCACTGCTTAAGATTGTATAGGTGAAAAACACTAGTAAAGCACAAATGGCTTTTGCATAGCAAAAGCAAATACGATGCAAAATAATTATTTTATGGAAACAGAAACATAAACGCAAGTTTAGGGTACAAAACAGTAGGAACATCCTTTTCCTTACCAACACCAACCTTTAACTCACTGGCCAGCTCTGCCTCCCCACCTACCGCAAAAGCCACGCGGCATCCTAGCAAGCACATTCAATTCAAAACTGCCTTTGTATTTCCTGAAGGATGTGACTGCAATCACCTTTTGTCTATCCCCCTCCCCTTCTTTTTCTTTTTCTTTTCTTCCCGACCCAGAAGTGCCCGTGCGCAGTCTTAGGGGCGAGCAAGGTCCCCCCGGTGAGCCGGGACCAAGAGGGCCGCCGGGGCCACCAGGATTACCAGGTCATGGTGTGCCAGGAGCCAAAGGAAAACCAGGCCCACAAGGATATCCAGGAATTGGGAAGCCAGGTTTGCCGGGGATGCCTGGGAAACCGGGGGTCATGGGACCCCCGGGGCCAAGAGGGGAGATGGGGCCAAAGGGGGAGGTCGGGCCCATGGGGATACCAGGGCCACAAGGACCACCAGGGCCTCATGGGCTTCCTGGCATAGGAAAAGCAGGTGCTCCAGGGCTGCAGGGACAGCCAGGGCCGAAGGGTGAGCCTGGGATGAAGGGGCCCCCGGGAGCCCCTGGGATCCCAGGGCCAAAAGGGGAGAAGGGCGTCGGCATCCCGGGTTTGCCGGGACTGAAGGGTCCGCCCGGACTGCCTGGCCCCCCTGGCCCTGTG